AGTCTAAAAAGGGGCATCACAGAAGATCTCGGTCTCAAAAGTTATTTATATAATCTTTCTTAAATAATACTCCCTCCTATTTTCTATCTTTATTAACTACTTGTCAAATAAATGTCGTTTTAGATATTTTGTACATATTTTCTATTATTACTCTTATTTAGCTAATAAATACATTACGTCTTTTCATATTCATTATTCACTTTTTCTCAAAACATTTATTTCTATTTTCATTAAATAAGGTTATTAGACAAAAAAAAATATATTTTTAATTAATGTGCAACTTCTCAAAACGACATATATTAAAAAAAGAAGTAGTAGACAATTGCAAATTTAGGTGTGGATTTGCTGCTTTATGTGGAGGGTGAGGTCATCGGCGACGAGGAAAGGAGGTGGAATCTCACCGCCTCTCCATTAGGCGTTTGAGTAAAGTTCGCAATTTTTGGTTCTGGGACCTCTAATTTGCATGTCTCTTTTAGTTTCTCGATTGTGGGTTGGTTTGTTGTGGGGTTTGGCCTCTGTGCTAACTCGGATCGACGTAGCGGTGTGCTTGTGAGATGTGATATTCTATTGTTAGTTTATATTTGTGTTGTACATAGTTTGATTCGACTTCTAAAGTTTGACTTTGACTTGATGATATATTTAAACGAGCCAAACTCGAACAACTAATCAGACTTCTCTATCAAACGAGCCGAATCAAATGTGTTCGCGAATAATTCGGTTAGAGTTTTATGTTTTGGTCTAGGTTTTAAAAATTTATTAAATCACTTGAACTGAATTTATAGTCAAACTCAAGCTAAACTTTTTATTTGCTTATTAAACGAGCTGAACCACGATAGCTCGTTTATTAAATGAACTCAAGTTCAAAACTTGAAATACTCGATTTGCAAAATCTAGATAGATCCATATATAAAAAGTCACAGTAGGAAAATAATTTTTAAATTCATATAAATTACATGAATCACACAATAAATAATATTAAATCGTGAATGTTGCATTTATAAATTAAAAACTATTTTACTTTCTAACTAATAGTGTTTTATACAGAGATGACTCTCATTTAACAAAAACTTGTGAGTTTTTAACTACACTCTTATACATATGAAAATGTTTTATTTTTAATTGTTTAATTATTTTCTCTTTAAGAATGTACAAAGATAAATATCTTCATGTATTTGAATTTCAATTGAGAAAACGACATAATTTATTAAAGAACTACTATAAAACAGTATGATAGTCCCATTATTCTTGTTATATGTCATGTCACTTAAAGTACATATGGCATTTCATTAAATTTGTCAATCATAATTGGGAATGAATGCGATCAGCTCTCGGCAAGCATTTCGTGAGATCACAATTATTCATGATTCCAATGAAGTCAATGACAAACATTTATCAACAAGCTAAAGATAGCCTAAAGGATTATAATGCTTGTTTTAATGCTCGAGTTCAAAATACGGAGCCTTGTCATCCTAGAGAGTTTGTTGGTATCAGCGTATGAAGGTCTTCGACCCGATTTGATGTCCATGTGGTCGTTTTCTCAAAATAAATCGACCAACTACCGAGAGTTTTTATCTCACGCCCAACAACCATATCATTGTAGAAGTGTCAGTCTTTTTCGGTATTTGAAGTTCCTCATAGAGCTCCCCTTAAATCTAAATATGCTCAAGTCCACCGATTTTTGGAGGATAAAAAGTCTCGACTGGCCGCATCAATACCGTCTGGAAACGGTAGGAGGAGTCTACGACCAATTATAAAGGTGCCTAGGGCAGCCACCATATTTGAGAAATAAAAAATAAGGGTATTATGCTCGATCCCATGTCGATCGTCCGAGATGAGGCATCCCTTGATAAATCGACGTAGTAGGCCTACCACAAAAGTCATGAGCACAATACTTATCAATGTCGAAATCTTATGTCGTCGATCTACCACCCTCAATTAGATCACTTCACTCGCACCCATGTCAATCACAGAAGGAGGTGAGATGATGCTCTACCATTGGACAACAATGTACTGACCACTGCCAAACGTCCTCAAAACTACCAACGGAGATCCCAAAACAATCGAGAAAGGAACACCTCTTCTAGACTTCTCTCCTGGGGCAACGATGTTTATTTATTTATTTTTTTCACCGACCATCGACAGACAAAGCTAGCGCTTCCTGGTCTAGCCCTAAATGTCGCAAGGTGCCTACTGATCAGGCTCGCCCTACTCGATCCGAGTCTTCCGATGCTCATCCAACTCGACCTATATATACCAACCAACCAGAGTCCATTGGATCGCGCCAATAGTTAAAGGCCTATGTGCATCAAGCCTACAATATTGAGACCTCACCTAGATTGGTTGGAAGCAACCTTTACTCCATCTATTTCTTAAAACGGGATGTAGCGTAGGTTTTCAAAACCCGCTCTAATGCACTAATAATAACCTTCACTATCTTTCAGCGTTCTGGTGCATCGGATAATGGTGGATACCGAAGCCTATGCCACACGTGTATTCCTCCACACTCTTATAAATATGGGCGTTGATATCGCCGAGGTACTCCCATGCAATGAACAAGTCAAAGGCTTCGGCAGAGACGTCGTCCTTCCAATTAGTGAAATCACGTTGTTGATCATCTTTAGCAACTGAAGATAGTGTTTGAAGTTTATTTTAACCGAGTATAGAATAAATTCCGACCTCGGTCTCTTGAGGAAAGTTGTCGGACGCGAATTCGGACAACGATTGACTCACGCAAAAAGAAAAAGAAAGGTCCTAAACACTCTGCTCACAATTTGGTGAATGATTTAAACTAATTTTGCAACTTTAAACTACAATGGAAGCATTAATGCAAGCATGACCTCAAATTGCAATAAAAAGGAGAAAAGAGAGAAAAATAACAAGGTATCCTAAGACTCGAGATGGAAAGAAGACACTCTTAAGTTTGGGAACATGTGATCAAGCAATCGTCACTCACGACGAATCAACCAATTGAGCTCTCAATCAATTCCCGCTCAAGCAATCAACTAAACTTTAATTAAATCAATCTTTAAAGTCTTATCAATCTATTAGTGTGAATGACCAATCAACCTTTTATCAATCTTTAAAGTCTTCCATTCCATTTGACCAATCTATGAGTGTGAATGACCAATCAACGTTTTATCAATATTTACTTGATATACAACCTATTCCAAACTTAAACGATCTTTATTTAAATCAAACACAACACCGTGCTTAAAAAAGTATTACACTTATGTGTGAATGACCAAACATAATGATATTCGCCATTGATATTCAGCTTAACTTCTTCGAAGATATACCAATACTCTCAACTCAATTCATTTATATTTTTTTACCAACGATTTTACATTTTTATGATCCACATGACTACCTAAAAACTAAAGTACATTACATTGCTTCAGAGCGTTTTTGTCCGCCCGAGCCCGTTCCATCTAGTTACGCGTGAACCTTGGTTAATTAAGCTTCATACAGCAGATTCTGCATTGAAAAAATGAAAGCATGACTAAGTTAGAGAGAGAGAGAGAGAGAGAATTGATTATTCTTATCACATGATAATCATTCTTGATCAGTAATCATGATACTCGTACCAGATAACTTTTCCGGCAGTGATGCTGTACTTTGAAAGCCGGCAGGCCTGCTGTGCAAGGATGCTACGTCAGGGTCGCTCTTGATATCCTGCATAAAAAAGCAACCTAATTATTCCATGTCGAGTATGAAATTTAAGTGGAAAATAGTAGTTTTGAAGCCCCCAACCTTGTTTTGGGAAGCATAGGTA